GTTTAGAACTTGTAAAAAACTTTTTAAGAGCATTCATACTAGCTCTTTCAAAGTCCAAAATAATATTCTTCTCTTTTATTACTTCTTCTTTTATTACTTTACTTAACCATTCAAAAAGCTTATTATAAGAATATTTATTTTTTGTTTTCATAAAACAATACAAAAGAGGCAAATTTTTACTTTTAACATTGCATTGCAAAAATTTGTTCAAAGCTCTTAGGAGCAGACTTGAAAGTGTCATCACAAGTCATTATTTTGCAATTGATAAGATGCAAAATATTTTAATCGGTTGTAAATACAACAATTCTGTTCTCATCATGTATTTCAGAATCGTAAAACAAAACTTGTTCCCTCTGGTTGTTTTTGTCAATTTGTATGGGATATCATATTCCTTAACAATTGTGAAATTGTTGGTCTCTCTAGCCCTTGTGACAAAACTGTTCATCATCTTATAATCTATAATGATTGAGTAGTTAAATTCAGACATTACATTGGAGATTGCAACTCTTGATGTTTCAAAGGAGTCTAGGATTCTCTGTTTTAATTTACTAGCAAAGAGTACTTTGCTAAATTTAATATCATCGCTGCAATGATTATGCTCTGAAAATTCTAGTAAAAGACAATCTGTTGTAGTTTTTAATAATAAAGGACATCCTCTCTTACTGCATCTCCAGACCAATTTACCAACAAAATGTTCCTTAAAATTGTAAAAAAAGCTTTCATATGCAATTTTTTCTTTTCCTTTAATGCTTTTGATGATATTATTTGATAAACTTTTCATAATAAGGGCACTAAATTTAAAAGTACAAAAAGAGACCGATCTTTTTAAAAAATTATTTAATAACTAGCTTGCGATATCCCGTTTTAAACGAGATCGCAAATATAATGAATGCATTTTCTTTCTAATAGATTTAATGCGCCTTTATGCCTATACTTATTATTTTTAACGACAAAATGATTTTTTAAAAAAAAACTAAAATTGGCTCTAGACACCCTGTATATAATTTAAAAAGTTGAATAAAATTAAAACACAATACACGAAAACATTGTTTCGTGCTTAGAGAAATAAACCTTAAAATGATGCTATTCGTTATTAGAAAAAATTTTAAAAAAATTCTAAAAAAGAAGAGTTAAAAAATAAAAAAATGTTCAGATTTAAACTTTTTATATATATTGATAGATTTTTAAATGTAGGGGTAAAAAATCAATAGGTGAAAATTAATTATTTTTGTTAGTAAACTTAAATTATGATTCACTTGTTTTCCTTAACTTTATAATTATTAAAAATTATATACTTAACGCATACAGCTATTTAAAAATTTTTATATTTGATAGG